TAAATAAAAGAAATAAGTGCAAGCCTAAGGAATTACAGGGCTTAAAATAACTGATTTAAAATAACGTCGGTTCGCTCGTCGATGACTATGTGCGGTTCTTCGGCCGTTAGGACCGTGTAAGCCGTGGGGTGGAGGTGCAGCCTGCGCTCATCCTTGTGTCGGGCCCCCTGCGGCTCGGGTCCTGCGGTCGTTGTCTAGGCGCGTCGCACAGCGCCTTACATAAGTGAAAATATTATAATACTTTCCATAACTGAAAAAGAAGATACGTCGTTGGAAATTCTGGGACAAAAACATGTCCACGTGTGTGGCATGCGATTTCAGCGCAAGAGGTTAATTGTTTTGAAAAATTGGGAATAGATATTCTGCTGTATTCTGAAGAGTTTGTTTATACTTCGTAGGATAGTTAGCGAAGTTGTTGGTGTAGGACGAGAATGTGTGAGAGGGAGAAAAAGTGTCAACAAATGGTGCCTGGTACTGTTGCTCGGTTCCTAGAAGACGGTCTCCCCACTTCTCTGTTCACTTAGTTTTTGTACTTGCCTTATCGTCGTCTGTTCACTAGCTTCGGCCACGCCAATCACAGTTAACGTGAATTCTGATTCGTTCGACCCTGCTAGCGAGACAGTCTTGGGGCAGTACGCCGTCAGTTCGGTTCAGTGTTGGTATCGTGGGCAGTATAGTGGTGCATCGAGTGTTGTGTTCAGCATTAGGCAACGTGGACATGTATTGGTGATTAATAAAACTAGTATTAAGGTAAAGGTACCAGTAGTTGACCAAATCGTCGTCTGTTCACTAGCTTCGGCCACGCCAATCACAGTTAACGTGAATTCTGATTCGTTCGGCCCTGCTAGCGAGACAGTCTTGGGGCAGTACGCCGTCAGTTCGGTTCAGTGTCGGTATCGTGGGCAGTATAGTGGTGCATCGAGTGTTGTGTTAAGCATTAGGCAACGTGGACATGTATTGGTGATTAATAAAACTAGTATTAAGGTAAAGGTACCAGTAGTTGACCAGTTAAGAGAAATCCTCCACACGAACAATAGTAACCACTTGCTCTGTGATTAAATAGCGAGAGTCGATGCCTGAAAATACTCTTTAAGCCCTCTAGATTATGTAACAAGACCAATTTTTAAAAAGTTATGTTATAAAAATTTTAAAAACGTATTTAAAAATTCAGTAATTGTTTCAGAAGTTGACCACTCTTAAAAATGAAAACACTAGTAATTGACCCTCTGTTCGTTAGTAGTTGACCACTTATACTAGAAGGATGGTTAAAGCAATAATGTTGGCAATCATTTTAGTATCGTTTATTTTCAACAATTACCAGCACAAGTTATAATTAAAATGGAAAGTAGAAATAAAACAATTCATTTCCATAACAAGTTCAATTCGGGAACAGAGTAGACGTTGCGAGTTCTGCTCGATTTCGTGGGTTTATATGAGAAACTACAGCCTTCCACTCATAGTCCAGCACATCAGGCTTCTTCCATAATCGTCCGTGCATTTCCATGGATGAAATAAAAATAAATAAAAAATTTTTTTAAATAAATAAATAAATTTCTAAAATAAATAATTAAGTAAATGCATTTTAATTTTCTGGTACTGTTTATAATATCACGCACATGGTTATTTTAAAAAAGTGGACACTGGACGGAGTCAATAATTGACCGTGGATCAGTCAATAGTTGACCATGCGGTCATCCACTAAAACGCAGTATGCTACAAAATTTAGAACTATATTTGGTACTTCTAACAAAGTTAAATGCAAAATGGATACGTTATAAATCGTAAACAAATTTAAATAACTCAAGATTCAGAATTTGACCCCCCAATAAACTATTACTTTTTGTGGTTAGAATAACAAAAACGTTGCATTTATCACTTAGAAAACGCTGTGAGAATTTAATAAGTAAATAATTCAGTCACGAAGAGTTCGCAACGTATGGATTTGTTTACCTGAGCCATACAGCTGTCCTTAACAGAAACGTTAAGGAAATAGCAATATAGAGGCGTATTACTTACCTTAATGAATTTAGACGTCCGTTGTTACTACGCATACTTCATTTCACATGTAATTATTTTGAAATTTAATCGATAGATGTCTTGGCATATCAGGTGCATTTTTTTCAAAAGATGCTAAGATCCTAACCTTATTTTTTACGTTTTTCTAAAAACTGGTCAACTACTGGTACCTTTACCTTACTGCATTAGGTATGAATTTTGAAAATGAGAAATGTAAACAGTAGCTCTTTTCATTTACCGAAAGTTTCGCGTATATTGTGAATTATAGGGCTTCTTAAGGATTCTTGTAAAATTGAATGAATTTAGTATTTGCAAGATGGCGTAGTGTGATAGATTCTGTTTTATTAGTGGAGATATGTGAAACCTAGAAACCTGTGCTATATATAATAATTTAACAAAAATACGAGGTGGCTTTATAACTTCAAAATTTGCTGTAAAATTAAGAAAACCACATACACTACCGGCCACCGAGCATTGCAATTTACACAAAAATTTCTAGAAAAAAGTCGAGCGACTTTGAGAATTTTTTATCATTCGAATCAGTTGATATGAGATAAATTGATAAAAGTAGAATTGCGATAAACGTCAAATCTATAAAAAATTAGCAGCAGATTTAATATCGATGAAAAGTGAGAGGTGATTCCAAACTTTTGGCCGGTAGTGTATGTGTATCATAAGGAATAGTCTTAGAATAGTCTTAATTCTCTCTTCCCTTAAAAAATAAAGAATGCATTTCACTTCTGTAATAATCAAACTTGGAAGTATGGTACTGTCGTGAATTTTCCATTCCCTCAAAAAGACAATACACTTTACTTGTGTAGGGCGAGAATGAGTGAGAGAGAGAGAGAGAGAAAAAGTGTCAACAAATGATGCCTGGCACTGTTGCTCGGTTCCTAGAAGACTATCTCCCCATTTCTCTGTTCACGTACTTTTTGTACTTGTGTTTATCGTCATTTATTTACTAGCTTCAGTCGCGCAAGGGTGGTACAGTATCAGTCTAGTGGTGTATCGAGTGTTATATTGTATTGTGTTCAGCATTCGGCAACTGTGAAATTGAATGGACAATTAATAAAACTATTATTCCTACATTAGGTGTGAATTTTGAAAATTAGAAATATATAGACAATAGCTCTTTTATAATTAAATTTGGAAAAATGGTACCATCGTGAATTCTCTGATCCCTAAAAACTTGTGCCTGTGGCGACCGCCACGGGGGGGCCACGCACTTAGGCCTGGCGACTCTTGGCCCTCGAGGCGAAGAATCGAGAGATGTTTTTCCAAACGTCTCCGAGTTTCTTCGTCCTCGAGGACAAGAGTATTGCCTCGGCAGTGCAGGTCCGCGCCCCCACTTCCTGGGTCTTTCCCTTAAGGGAGCCCCGAAAAAGGCACGCGGCTTTTTGTCGTAGACTCGCGTCGCCTACACTTCGAAATTAGGTTACGCGTTATTGGATTCAAATAAATATATTTTTATTAAACAACTTAGTAATTACTTTACACCACGTCACTTCGAAATGTCGTAATCAAACTTAGAAAAATGGTACCGTGACATCATAAATTCTCTCTTCCCTTAAAAAAAAAAAGCACTACCTCTGCCGTAATTAACACGTTGACTGCCGCGCGCATTTTACGTGGTTTGTCCATGGCGCCAACATGAATTTTTTACTATGCGTCGCCGGTCACCGGTGACCCCCATGGCAGTCAACGTGTTAAACTTGGAAAAATGGTACTGTGGCATCGTGAATTCTCTCTTAAAAAAAAAACAATATACTTTACTTCTGCCGTAATCAAACGTAGAAAAATGGTACCATCGTGAATTTTCTCTGCCTTTAACCGTTTGAGTGCCAAGCGGCGCGATCGCGCTTCTATCCTGTCCTAAAAGCGCCAGCGTTCTAGGCTGCGAAGCCTATAATCACAGAAGGGTCGATTTTTTTCGATGCACGACTTGACGGTTACCCTTGAGTCTTAAGTAAAAAAAAATAAAATTAATATTAATATTTATTACATGTAAGCTGAAAACAGCGCAATCGCGCTCTTTGCCATTTTTGGACGCGGAATATAACAAGCGCTATCGCGCTCTTTGGCATTTTTGGACACGGAATATGACGAGCGCTATCGCGCCGCTTGGCAATTTTCGATAGGGAAATATGAAAGGCTCGTCGCACTCAAACGGTTAAAAAACAATACACTTCACTTTTAAAACCACCACAATTAAAACAGTACACTAAATCACTTTTCAATACTGTGGCAACCAGCTGTAGTACAGAAGCAAGCATTTGCTTCGACCAACACGGTTTATGACGGGCATGCTAGCAAAGCTATTTTTGAGAAAACCGTTTTAGTCTGTTTAATGGTTAGTAAATCTAACAATGCATGTTTTCGTAGAAACTTTCACCAACGGTCTGAATAGCAATTTGCCAGGTCATGAACCAAGGGTTGCCGAAAGGTCCGCGTACGGGCCCAGAGGCCCAAACCACATGTCTCAAGTACCGGACCTGGAGGAAAATCCGCCGCGCTGCGAAATGCGCTACAGCGGACAATACGCCCCCACCGCCAAGTACCGGACCTGGAGGAAAATCCGCCGCGCTGCGAAATGCGCTACAGCGGACAATACGCCGCCACCGTAATTCGCCGCGGTCCTGGAAAAAGCGCGCCAAGGGCGCAAAGGACTAGCGGCAGGTTAAAGACAAAATTCCTGATTGGTTGTAACCAATCAGGAAAAAGAAGAGGGTGAGAAAGAAGCTCACGAGGTGACTTGGAGAGTCAGTGAAGCAAGGAGTCATTAAGCAATAATCAAACTGTACACCTCGTGAGCCAGAAAAATAATAAAGCCTAAAAAAAGAGAACTTACTGTGTGGGTACTAAGTAACCCAGATCACGCACTATCCTCCTATCATTAAATCCAAATCCTACAATACGTTTGCATCTTCCAGACCAACGAAACCGAGTCAACCCTAATCGTGTATCTGCGCCCTTTTCTGTTTCAGTATGCGTACAGTGGCCAGAGGGTAGGTGCTTCCACGACGTGCCGGAATCGGCACTGCTGATTCTCTACTTCGAGATCCGCGAGAATTGCCACGGGTTCTCCTGAAGGCGATGGCCAGAAAAAGGCGACGACAGTGACGACGGCAAAATGAGAGAAAAAGAGAGACGATCAACGAAACACGCATCCACGAGCAAGACAGGATTGCTCGGAGTATCGCGACAGACAGTGAAAAGCCAAAACAAAAGTTCACATTTTCGTTTGTTTCTTCCCAACAGCCGCCAACACACCACGACCAAGCCAACATAAAAAAAAAAAGCAAAGAAAAGAGAAAGAAAGAAAGAAAAACGTTCTGATAAAAGACAGAAAAAAAAAAGAAAGAAAGACAGCCACGAGAATTATCTAGGGAGAGAGAATGAGACTCGTCTCTCTCTCCTCTCTTTGACAAGCGAGAGAGAACAGTCTGTATCTCTTTAAAAAGAAAATA